CCCTGAAGGCATGCGCCGAGGCCGGGAAGCGTGGTTCGGCGCTGCTGCACGCTTGGCGATTTGAACAGAACCACGTGCCGCCGAGCTGCGGCCGCAGTTTCCGGCCCACGGTCTACGGTCGCAGCCACGGGACTCGGCGGCACGGCGTTTGGGCCCAAGCTTGCTGCCGCCGCCGCCGCCGTGCCCGGGGGGCAGCGCGGCGGCGGCGGCACGCTGCGACGCCCCCGTGCTGCCGAGCTGCGGCCGTAGTTTCCTGCCAGAAGGCCACAGCCACGGGACTCGGCGGCACGGCGTTTCGGTCCACGGCTTGCTGCCGCCGCCGTCGCAGGGGTGCTGCCTGCGGCGGCGGCGGCACGGCGTTTGGGTCCACGGCTTGCTGCCGCTGCCGCCGCCGCAGGGGTGCTGCCTGCGGCGGCGGCGGTAGCGCACGTGGCAACCCCCCGCGTTTCCTTGCCTCCCATCCACCAGACCCCGTCCTGCGCTTCACTTTGTTTAGGGAGGGGCTGCTCACTGCTCATTGCTCATTGCTCATCGCACACTGCTCAACGCTCATTGCCCTATATCCCACCCAGCCGCAGGACTCTACTGCCGCCCGCGCCCCGCCCCATCTGGCCGCTTGCGCGCCCCATCCCCTCTCGATGGGGCCCGCCCACACCGGGGCCTCCCCCCTCCCGCCCACTGCTTTCTCAACGGCCCCGAGCCGGGGCTGCCCTCATTGCATACATAGTGCGCCTTTCCCTGCTTTTCTAGTGACCTAGCGTTCCGCACTGCCGTTTGGCCAGCCCATGCTCCCGTACCGTTGCGTTTCTCCCCAATGCGCCATGCCACTTTGCCAGTCATACACACGTTTCGATGCGTGCCCTGTCAGCTGCTTGCGTTGCATGTCGCCTTGCTCCACCCCTGTTTTATTGCTTTCTCTGCTTTCGCCCGGTTCCCGTCCCGTTTCGGCGGGGAGTCTATGTTGCAAGCTAGTTCTTGCTTTACCAGACTTTAAGCCCACACAAGCAAGCAAGCGAGCGGAAAGGCGCGTTGCTGGATCATGTTGCAGTGGCGTGGCTGTCGGACTGCGCCTGCTGCCAGCTGGTCGTGGGCTGCAGGTGGGGGCGGTGGCCCTGCTGGCGCTGAAACTGCAGCCAGAGCACCCCAGTGAGCCAGCTGCCTATCTGCCTTGTTTGCATGCCTGATTGCTGACTGACGTGTGCGCTGCATGTGCGGGCTTGCTGAGCTGACGCTCCCCGGCTCAGCCGCTGCACGCCCGACACTCCTGGCTGCTGCTTCCGCTGCCACCACAGGCCTGGCGGTCGGGCCTTTGCCCCTCCAGGCCAGCTGTGCGTAGACCTTGACGCCGAGCTGGCCGTTGCCTGCCGCTCGTTTGTGTGTGCATCAGTGATGACATGGCGTCCCGTGCCACGCCAGCCAGGCGCTCCACGCTGGCTGACCAGTGTGCGGCGGGGCTGGCCAGGCTGAGGTGCGTTCCGGGTTATTGGGTCGGGTGCATGAATTGTCAATGCCACCTGCAATACTGCTGGTGCACAGGGAGAGTGCAGATATGCCGGAGGCATACGTGTGTCGTCACACCACAGAGCATGCCATGCTCCTCCATCCGCTCACTACAACCTTGTTCCCTCTGCGGCTGCAGCCACCGCTGCTGCAGGTCGGGAGGGCAGTGCTTCAGCTGGCAGCGGTCCGGCAAGGTCTGTGCACTGGAGGGCTCTGCGGCTGAGCGGCGGGGAGCTGGCAGAGGTAAGGGGTGAGCATACATGTCCAGGCGCATGCCATGTGGAGGCGGGCCACTGGGTCTCTTTGGGTGTGTTGGCAGAGCTGTTCCTTACTGGCAGCTGATAAACATGGCCGTGTTGTTATGTAATGGTTCATACCTGTGTGAGAACATGCGCGCGGTGGTGGTGGTGGTGTGTGTGGGTGGTGTGGTGTGTGTGGGGGGGGGAATGGGGACCGGGACCCCGGTGCTTGCTTGCTTGCTTGTGTGGGCTTAAAGTCTGGTAAAGCAAGAACTAGCTTGCAACATAGACTCCCCGCCGAAACGGGACGGGAACCGGGCGAAAGCAGAGAAAGCAATAAAACAGGGGTGGAGCAAGGCGACATGCAACGCAAGCAGCTGACAGGGCACGCATCGAAACGTGTGTATGACTGGCAAAGTGGCATGGCGCATTGGGGAGAAACGCAACGGTACGGGAAAAGGTAAAGGTGGGGAAGAGCCTCCACAAGCTTCACTTCCCGGTTTTAACGTCTAGCTTTAGACCATTATTTGATCTGCCCGACGCGCCAAGTGCAGTACCCCCCACTAGTAGTGAATGGGTCCCGGGGAGGCCTGTGCCGAAGCCTTGGCGATTCTATTAGGCGTTCCCTTAGGGAGCATGGGCTGGCCAAACGGCAGTGCGGAACGCTAGGTCACTAGAAAAGCAGGGAAAGGCGCACTATGTATGCAATGAGGGCAGCCC